AAAACTAGGTTACTTTACATATGAAGCACTACAAATAAGAGAACTTTGTAACCCTAGAACTTAAAATGAAAAATCTTGTAACTAACTATTTTTTTATTTTTCTTTCTGGTTGCTGTTGTATTTTGTTTCGTTTTTGAATTTTTATTTAGCGATTCTGCATTTAGGTAACACCATCTATATGGGAATACCAATAAATTGTTGTTGTTGTTGTTGCGTTCACCTCGTGTATTACGGCCACGTTTTCTTGTCCCAGCGCAACGCCCATACATTTTCTACAAGGAAACCCCGTTAATGCGGTCACCCGGCCTACGGCCAACGGCCACATTCTGAATTCACAACCTGTATAATCCTTTATAATTGTGATAGAAATAATCCACCTTCTGAATTTAATTAGATATTAATAGGGAAGTGATATTGTGGCTTTTAAAGAAAGCTCAACTGGGCTTGCTGGATCTCCTGCCTTATCAACTATTATCTGATTGTAATGTAAATGATTGTAATGAATGGTAGAAGGCAAACATAGAAAAGATTCCCGTTTATACGGTCCTTCAAACTAGTTATGTTCATCAATTTTAAAAATTTTAAAATATTGTAAAATCATTTTAAAATATTTCAAAATAAAAAATACTTGTGGGCAACACGCAGCAGCAACTAATCATCTTGAACAGTTGAGTTTATTAATCGACCGGTTTAATTACGTCTGCTAGTAAGACTTTGCCAGGATTAATTTTAAAATAGAAATATACGTGGGCAGCACGTAGCAACAATTAATGATCTTGATCAACTGAGTTTATTAATCGACCGGTTTCATCTGTTAGTGAGACTTCGTCAGGATTAAACTACAAGAAACAAAGATGGAACTTATTTTATACTAAATATTGGTAGTACAAAGTACGCTCCTACTGTTGGGGTGTGAACAACAAAACAATCACAAGGAATACGTACAGGATATGACTAAAATCCTGCGCTAGAAAATGTGCGAGGTAGTGTAAGCGGAGCTCACGGATTTAACGTGTTATCACTGGAGGGACTAATGAAAATGTTTAAAATTTCCCCTTTTAAAGGTATCATACCACCTTAACCCGGGCTGGTGGGGGGGGGGGGNACAGTAGAGTGAAAATATTTGTATTTGCGGTGAATAGTAGGAGAAATTTTTCTATTTTTGTGTGATTTATTTAGGATGAGAAGAAAACAATAAAAAATCAGAGGTCAACTTTGCCGTTCAGCGTCTGCCGTAAACGTCATGCTTAAACTCTCTATTGTTAATTACTTATGCTCCCATATATGGGCTATATGGGTATGTGCCGCGGGATAGGGTAGAATTTTTGAGGTTCTCGATCCTTAAAATAGCACATCATTTTTAAGCGATGACGTATTGTGTGACGTAATTAAGCGATGACGTATTGTGTGACGTCATCGCTTTATGCTGGCGTGCATGCATTCCTTTGGATAGTGATTTCGCATAGTTTGTCGCGCTTATGTCCGTGCGCTTATGTCGCCACAATTTATCCCCCTGTGGAAGCGAAATGCACTCTGGGAATTCCTTCGCTGCTTTCCTTTGCTGTTTGTAGGTTCAGCGGAGTGCTTGTAATTGTGGCTTTTAAAAGTAGATTTTGGGGTGGATTTTGGTTTATACAGTATCGGATAAATTTGCGTTCACGGGCCAACTCATAATAAGAACATACGCTCCATACATACAAGTTTAGATAGACAAGTAAGTCGCATAGGCGATAGGTGAAGGCTTTGCGGCTTTCCTTTGTCGTTTGTAGGATCGGCAGATTGCTTTTAATCGATATGACAAGTATACAGTTAAAACAACAAATTAATTTCCGGTGAGGTAATTCGTTGCCAAATATTTTTAAAGATAATAAGGTGTCGATTTCAGAGAGAGTAACATTCCTTTGCGGGTTTCCTTTGCGGCTGTTTGTAGGATCAGCGGAGTGCTTTTAATTTCAGCTTTTAAACGAAGATTTGAGGGTTGATTTTGGTTTATACAGAGTGTCGGATAAATTTGCGCTCAGTGGCAAACTCGTAATAAGAAAATATCGTCCATACATACAAATTTAGATAGACAAGCAAGTCGCACACGCGATAGCTGAAGGGTCTACATAAAATTTACGGATTGGCAGCGCAGTTGTACTTTTCCCAGTCTTGAAGTGAATTGAATGAGCATTGTCTGAATTGAATGAGCACTGTGAGAGCACTGTATGAGCATTGTATGAGCGCTGAAATATACAGTTTACAGTAGTGATAATGAAGTCAGCGGTACGATTCATTTGCAGTTTTCAGTTTTTTATGAAGTTTTGGAAACGTGCTGTTTTACATTTTCTGTCAACGAAAGAGTGGTTGCCGTGATTAAACAATCGATAATCGTTTTGTCAGGGTAAAGACAATAAGAATGTTCATTGATGACAAGTATACGGTTAACAACAAATTAATTTTCGGTGAGGTAATTAGCGTTGCCAAATATCTTCAAAGATATATATAGATTTAGGCCAGCCTAAAAGCGTAACTCCTGGGCCGGGTTGTTCAGAGCCAAATTAAGCTAGCCCAGGAAAGGCAGAATTTTGATTTGAGTTTTGTAACTTTGCGTTGAGGTTTTCTGTATATTGTTTGGCCTTCTGTTTTGAGTTTTAATAATCACTATATACACA